GGCTGCCCCAGCTGTTGTACCTGCCACTGCTCCTCCAGGAAATCATGCCCAGGCCTGACCTAGAAGTGGGCCCTGGGCGGAGCCCTGGGCGGGACCATGGCAGGCGGGTGGCATGCCTATGTGTGTGTGGGCTGTGGCGGGTGGGGGCCACACGGGGTGCAGCAGGGTGGCTGCTGTTGGCCCTTCCGAACAGGCTGTGGGGTGAGCAGCCTGCCTGGTCAGAGCGTCTGTCTGGCTGTGCCTCCTGGACTGGGCAGGCCAGGCTCCCTGATATACCATGGATGAGACAAGAAGGGAGGAGGGCCCCCAGCCCTGACTGCCAGCCCCACTTGGAGAGAGGCACCAGGGCAGTCGTGGTCAGCCTTGAGCAGCCCCAAGAGGGCCCAGGAATCAGGGCCCAATCTCGAGCTGGGGCCTTGGCTGATTGAGTCCTAGAGAAGCAGTGGGACGCTCCTCCCACCCCCCACCCCCCACCCCCCAGCAAGGCCTTTCAGCCCAGCTGGGCATCTGATGCCTGGGCATGCCTGGGTGAGCTGTCCCCTTCTCTAAGCCCAGGCAGCCTGGGGGTGGAGCTGAGGCAGTCTGTCCAGTGGGGTGGCACTTTCTGGCCCTGGCCAGTTCCAGGCTGGTGTCCTCACTCTAGGGGGCCCCTAGGGGGGCACAGTGGAGGCCAGTGCCCTGTGGGTGTCTGGAACACGGTATGTTCTGCCAGGCTGTGTGTCTCTTCAAGCTCATGCTACCCGGGCTGGCCTGTCCACACCTCTGCCTCACATCCTTACTCACCGTCCTCGCCCAACAGTGGGTGTTGCCCAGCCCTGCGCCCCAGGAGCCAGAAGAGCTGGTCCTGCATAATACTTGGGGAGGCGGAAGTGCTCTGGAAGCTCCCAGACCGCATTCCCTCCCCACCTCTGCCTGCCTGTGCCACCTCAGGTGCCTGGACAGGAAGGGCCCAGGCCTCACCGGCCATCTCTTGCCAATCCAGACCCTCTCCCGGGCTGTTGCTCAGGAGCATGGTGTGCCCAAGCTCACAGAGCCCGTGCTGCCTCGCTTGTCTGTGTGGGGACAGAGCCAGCCTAGCCAGGCACCACAGGGATGTCCAGAACCTCACCTCCTCCCCCTTCCCTAGCTTCTGGGTCAGGAGCTGAAGCCCTGAGGCCAGGCCTGGCTGGCCCAGGACATGCCAAGATCACACAGGGCTGGCGGCAGCAATTGCAGGTCACACCTGGACTCCTTCTAGGCTTGGGACGCTAGAGATGTCCCCACTGACCCCAAGTTTGGACTCTCTGTCCAACACCCTGAGCCACCCAGAGGCTCCACCCTCTGCAGCCCACCTCCAGCAGGGAAAGATCCTGTCCAGTACTCTACTTCCAGTGGACACCAGAGCCCCCCACCTGTGGCCCCACCTGCTCTAGTGCCAGGTCTGGCTCCCCAGACTTCAGGCCATGGGGCTCAAACCCTAGCTCAGATACCTGCCCCAAGCCCAGCCAGGGAGGCCCCACAGGCCCAAGTGAATAAACGACAAGTGACAAGTTGTGCAGATGGCGAGTGACTCGTGTTTGTTTCAGGCAGCCCCCAGTCCTGGGTGCTCACGGGAGGCCTCCCCTACCGAGGGCTTCCACCAGGGCTTGAAGCTTCTCGGACAGCGCCACCTACAGGGAGCAGTGGAGAGGCTGGTGGGCGGCTGCGGGCGGGCGCATGCAGGACAGGGCAGCCCCAGCTGGTGCCCCTGCCCACCTGGTACGGTGCAGGGTTATCTGGCCGCCGGTGTTCAGGACGCAGGCTGCTGAGGGACAGCTGGGCGAAGGCCCTGGACTCCGCTAGAGACGGGAGCGGCTCACACAGCTGCCGACAAGAGGGGAAGAGCAGGCTGGAAAAGCCGGTGGGCTTAGGCCCCTGGGGCTGAGGTGTGGGTAGGGGGTGTGGTCACCTGTCCCTGCCAGACCCAGAGTCGCAGCAGCGGCTCTACTTGGGCTGGCCTCACGAGGCAGGGCTTCTGGGCCGCCCGTGGCCAAACGCTCATCTCCTGCCCAGCCCGGGGCGGGGGCTCCTCTGCCCACTGCAGCAGGTCCAGCA